GTGGGGTGGCTGGATAAAAAACTGTGTCTGTATCAGTTTGTGATAATCTTCAACACATATGACAAAAATAAGATTTTTAAGTTTTTTTTGCTTCCTTACACGAGCGATATGAAGCAAAATGCCGCCAAAATTAGCAACACCAATTTTTGCGTGACGTCCTTGTTGACAAAAACGTCGAAAGTTTGAAAGTCTTTGTAAAAAAGTGGATAAAATTCACAAAGGCAAACGAGCGAATTTGGACAGACAGGCAGAAGAAACAAAGTTATACGTAGAGAACATAAAACGTCTGTTCAACTTTCGAAAAGTTGGTCGATCAAGGCTCAGGAGAAGAAATAATTTTCTCTCAGAAAGAGATGCTGGATAACGCAAATAATCTCGTAACAAAACGTGAAGAGTATTTCAAAGTATCTATTAAAAATTGTGTAAATATATATGCTCACTTGGCTTATCAACCAAACCCAGCATTATGTTTTCAATAGACCTGAAATTTTACCGCATTTCAGGTTTAAAAAAACGCGAGCTTTGAAAACTTATTGATACAGAGATACTAGAAGTTGTCAATTTATTTTGTAGAGAGGTTTTATTCTAAGGATTGTAATTTGATACTAACAACCAAGGTTTACCAAGAATTCGCCTTTTAAGAACTAATACTGAAAGTTCAATCATGTGATTATAAAACAATAAAATCTCTCTGTAGGTCAGTCGACTAACCTCGACGTGTAAAATGGTTCCTTTCTGAAATTTATCTCGTTTGAAGACCGACCCGATGAAGAAAATCTACAATGTACTGTATGTCTGGAAGTACTAACAGACCCCAGAACCCTTCCTTGTTGTCACTCCTTCTGTAAAGTTTGTTTGGAAGGTGTTGTGCAACATCGCAGTCGACCTATACATATGGTCACTTTGAACAGAATTGGTGTGGAAAAAACTGGAAATAGCACTTACAAATAGTATTTTTCCAGATGGCGTTCACTATAGTCAAGTTATAATATGTGTGCAGTATACATGGAATATTATAAATCTATAACTTTACATATATTATATGGAAAATGTATAGATTAAGTCTTACGTAATTATTTCCAGTTACAAATAGAGTTGCAGGTATATAAATTTATATCTACATGTTTTACAACAAAGTCTTTTAGGTACAGAGCATAATTATTTTGTTCAAGGCAAAGTAGCTTAACTGATTTTTAAAATTATGTCATTGAGTTGTTAGGGATATCTTTTAAGTGGTTTGGGAAAGAGTTAGACAACATTGAAGGGTCTTGCAGATAGATACAGATACAGATATTTCACAGCACACTCCCTAATATCAGGGCTTTTCAGTGACTGGTTACATTATGAATAGATAGATAGAACCGGACTGACGTGAAGCAGACCGAGGTAGACTTTGAGCTTACAAATGGCGCTTAAGCAGCTGCCGCTATTAGTCCATACCTCATTAATGATCTGCCTCCAGACCTATGTGCCTAACCCACCCTGTCAAACCCACGACTTTCGGCAGAGCGTTGACTTACTCTTTTCACATTAGGACTGGGTTCCAGTCACAATGAGAAGTCCTCATCGAGATTCGAACCTGCGACCTTAGAGGTGAAAGGCAAGTGCGCTAACCACTTCGCCACCGATGGAAATTGTCGAGAATTACTGATGAATCATCGGCCTTAAGTGCATGGTTTGGGATGAAGTTAGACAACATTGCCCCACTATAAAATATTTTGATTTCCCAAACTCAGTAGTATCTTTGGGAACTTTTAAATCCGTAATTGATGATCTTGTTGGAACATTATCTTTGTCGTTAACAAGTGCAAAGAGATTGTACAAGTTTGCAGGAGCTTCGTTTTCCAGAAGGGAAAATACCATAATGATTTTCTTCAGTCATTTTCATCAAGTTATGCAAGGGACCTATATGTATGTATAATCCAAGACTTTGGAATGAATTTATTTAAATACGACCAGTTTTGTTCAGTAAACTTTTCAAACATTGTTAAAATTGTGTACGAAACATTGTGTTTAAACAAAACGTCAAAGCATTTAAATTAGTCTCGGAGAAACGACATCGAATGATACGAATGACTGGTAAGTTGACTAAGTTCAGTCACGGTCATAGATCTCGTTCGCGTCATTGACGTCATTCCTGTCAAGACCTTCACCTAAATTATTGAAGGCCCCTAAATTATAAGGTCTATTAATTATGTAAGAACTAATACTGAATGTTCGGTCATGTGATTATAAAACAATAAAACCTCTCTGTCGTGTCT